CGGCCGGGGCCTGGGCCTGGGCCTGGGCAGGACAGCCGGTGGGTAAACGGCGGGCACGGAGGGGCTCACGCCAGGGGCTCCGAGCAGCGGCCAGACCCATCCAAGGCCGAGGGAGAAGAGTGGGGCGGTTACGCGGGGGAAGCCGGGCCAGCAAGCAAGGACGGCGGTCAGGCGCTGGTCAGCGCAGCCGGGAGGGGGGCTGGCCCGGCCCTCTGCAGGAGGGAGCTGCGGACCCAGGGCCGTGTCGCTGTGGGGCCCCGCGGGGGAGGGCCGGGGACAGCCTGGGCATGGGAGCCCCCGTGCCCTCGAGTTTCCTGTCTCCCCGCGCCAGCGCCCAGCACCCTCCCCTCCGGCTGGGCACCGCTTGTCCTGTGGGGGCTCCTGCTGTCAGCGACCTGCCTTGGTTTACCCAGCTTAATGTCAACCAAGTCCCCTTTGCCAGGCCCGGGAGGGTCCTGCCTCCGTGCCCCTGGGCAAGGCCACGAAGACGTTGCCTAGAAGCCTCACGCGAATGGGGCGGCTGAGGGTCAAGGCTCAGCGCCCACCCGCCCGCCCCAAGCACAGGCAAGGCGGGGGGCTGCTGTGACCAGGGTGGTCTCCAGAGGGACAGTGATGCGCTAGCCCCCCCACTTGCCGCTCAGGCCGCAGCAGCGGTCCTGGGTTCTGGGGCTCAGGCCGAGCCCCGCCTGCACCCGCCGGTGACCTGCAGTGTCTAAGCATCGAGTTGCGTCCCGTCTCCTGGGCCTCCGAGGGCGCTGCGCCCCAGCACTGGGCGGCCCCTGAGCCAGAGTCCACCCGGAGCGACCCAGGGGGCAGCACCCTCCTGAGTCCCCTGCCCCCAGCAGAGCGCCCGGGGGCCGCCTGTCCTCCATGAAGTGCTGCCTGGAACTTTAACTTCTCTCACTCCCGGGTAACCTCTTGTTAAGGGCCGGTGGGACTGTGCCGACAAAACTGGACACTCCCGCGGTACTGGGACCGGCCCCTGGAGGGCGGGAGCCACGCGAGACCGGGGCTAGCCGGTTGCCGTCCGCCTGCCACCCACACTCCGGGTGGCCTCGCCCCAGCCTCCCTCACGGGACCTCCCTCGCCAGACCTGCCCCGGAGCTGCCCTGGAGAGCCTGGCGCCCCAAGGCTCTGAGTGCCGCCCACCCGGCGTCCCTGGCCTCCCCCTCTCACGAGCTGCCAGGACCAAGGCCTGGGGGCTCGCCTCCCCCATCTCGCACACGCACCCCACACCCAGCTCAGTCCCAACCCCTGTTCCAGTCACCTCCTATCCAGCTTCGCCCCACCCCAACGAAGAATGTTTTCTACGGACAAAACCAACGGAACAAGTTCTGTTTCTGTAAAATAAAACTGATCATGTTTGGAGGTGGAAGCCCTGGTCTGGAGCAGGCCGCCAGCCGGCGCATGCACACAGACCCGCAACATGTAGGTCAAAACAGACACCTGCATCTCAGCGCCTGGCGCCGGGGCTCCTGGGGCACAGCCCCGCACCCTGAGCAAGCCATTCGGCTAACAGGGGGCCCTGGGGACCCCTGCCCCAGACAGCCGCCTCCAGCTCCACCCCGCGGGGTGCTGAACCGCAGCTGCCCACGCAGTTGAAAGTTCCACGTTCACGTGTGACACGGGAGGGACACGGCTTGGCCGGCCCTGTGCCCCGCAGGGCCCAACAGCCGGTGGAGCCACCCAGACCGACCGAGGGCGGCGCCTCCCACTGGCCGCCGGTCAGGGCGCCTCTTCGCAGGCGCGGACGGGCAGGCGTTTGCTTGGACACTGGTGCAGATGCAGACCCCAGAGTGCCCGAAAAGGCCTGGCCAGTCATGCCAGGGAGAACCCTACCTTACGGGCTCCCCGGCCACCCTCAAAAATACTTCGCCACACCCAAGAGAGCAAGCCAGGCTCTGCGTGGGGACAGGCCCAGAGGCCGCAGCCCGCAGGACACTGCCCAGCAGCCAAGGGCAGGGGGAGCGTGGCGGCAAGGCTGTTCCACTCCCCTGGAAACCTGCACCCCCCCATCAAAGCCGGTGAAGCATGCTGCTCCCCGAGTCAGCCGTTAGGACAGTGGGTCGCAGTGCCGTGGCAATAACGAGCCCCCTCTGGGGCCTGCGCCCCAAGTCTCGACTTCAGGCCACCTGCGTTTCCACCCCCAACCCCCTCGCTGCCCAGGCGGAGCCTTTCACTCTCCTGGCTGGGCTTCGCCGGCTCTGCCCCCAGGCCCGTCCTGGCCACCTGCTTGGCAGGCTAGGGGGCCTTTACCTTGGCGGGGAGCCCCACGTGGGCGGCTGCGCTGGGGCCGCTGCGGGCGGACGACGCAGGCGCGGGGTGTCACGGGTTTGGGGGAGTCTCTACCCCCACAGCGCGAGGCGCCTCTCCCCCAGCGGCCAGCAATCCCGTTTCCCGGCCCCTGATCCGGCCATGGCTTCTGGGCTGGGCCCTGGCGGGAGCAGCTGCCAGAGTGGCTGGGCTGGGGTTTGTGGGTGGGGTGAAGGGAAAAAAGGAACCCCAACCCAACAGGCTATGGTCACAGCGGACACCCGTCCCCGCCGGCTTTGGGGACAGTGGCGCTTCCCGGGAGGCGCAAGCTGCTTTAGTTTGAGGTAATCACTGTTGTGGCGCGGCTGGGGGGCTGGACCCGGCCTTCAGCGCTTTCTCTGGGCTCAGGCCGCCCCGGTCTCCGGCGGCAGCGGCGCCACACACCGGCGCCGGCTCGGCGGTGCGCGGGCTCGGGGGTGCAGTGGCAGGCGCCCCGGTCAGGCACGCTGCCGGCGGCTTCTCAGGCTTCTGTGTTATCGCCGTCCGGGCCGCAGGTGATGGCCGCAGAGGCCAGTGGTGCGAACAGCCCAGCTGCCCCTCACATACAGGGTCTCCCACGCTCAGGATTTTTTTTAAGACTAATTTATCTGTGCATACAGAACTGGGGTACAGGCCAGAGGTGCAGGGGGTGAGAGGACGCACCAGAGTGGGGGGCAGAGCACGCAGATGGACAAAATCCACTGCTGAGGGGGCTGTGGGGAGACAGGTCTGCTGCGCCCTGAGGTCACCTCGGGGCGGGAAGGCACAGCCTCGCCCTAGGGTCCACCGGCCTCAGGAAGACCTGCAAGGGGGGCGCCCTGCTTCTCTCCCCTTCACCCGCCCGCCGCTTGCCTCTGGAAAGGCGGGTGAAGGGGGGTCTTCTGTGATTGGAGCTTTTGGGGTGCCGGGCCGGGCGGCTGGCTGCATGTCCCCCACATCACTTCTTGCAGCACCAGGGCGTGGGCGTCTAGCCGCAGACCTCAAGCCGGCTGGCAGGGGTGCGGGCCGGAGCCGGCCTGGGGGACCTCAGAGAGAAGCTGCACCAGAACCCCGCAGCGCCCACGAGGCAGACATTGAGTTACAGCCAAGGGGGAGCTTATCACGTGGGAGGGGCCGGAGGGACAAGCAGTCCCGCCCAGACCAGAGGCCGGAAGAGCCCGAAGGGCAGGTGGAGGCAGCAGGGCGGCCTGGCCGGAAATGGCTGGAAGGGGCCCTGGGAGCGGCATCCCTTTGTGGGCACTAGTAGGGCCAGGCCCTAGGCGGCCCAAGGCCTTCTCAGTGGGTTTCCACACACCACAGCCCCCCCCGCCCCCGTTCCCCTACAGCTGTCTGACACCCCCACCTCCGGGCCTGGGCTTGGGCTGGGCTGCCCCTTCCCGAGGTCCACCCCCAGCATCTTCTGGGCGGGTGGGGCCTCTGGGGCGCCAGCCCAGGTACATCCCACCGCAGGCCTGGGCCCACCTGAGCGCCCACTCCAGCGCTCTTGCTGAAGGGCAGGCCATGCCCGGCCACCTCCCACCCGTCCACTCACCAAACAGCTGCCACGCAGGCCCGTCCTGAGCCCCGCGGCTTCCCCTGCGCGCTGGCACAAAGCGCCAGCTGCGGCGAGGGCTCCACTCACGGTGGGGTGGGGGTGACCCGCGCCCTGGAGACAACCGTCTCCCTAACTCCTCGCCCTGCTCAAGCCGGGCCTGTGTGCACTGCAGACCAGCTGGGCGCAGCGTCGCAGGAATTCAGCTTGCTTATCTGTGAGGCTGACCGCTGACCTGAGCCGAGATGGCCCTGCAGGGGTGCGGGAGGGGCCGCAGGGCACCCTCGGGAGCCAGCGGTCAGGGCTGTGAGCTGGGACAGGCCTCAGGGGCGGGGAGCGCCCGTCCTGGGCCTCGTGGGCCTTCAGTGTAGCCCGTCAAGTAGAGGCCACCACGCTGACCCCGCACCCGAGTGTCTGTGGCCGTGCAGGCGAGGGCTGGACGGTGGCTGGGACGCGCCGTGGCACGTCCTTGGCGGCTCAGCGCCCCGCTGGTATCCTGTCCAGCCACGCGCCTCCAACGCAGGCCCCTCGGCACTTTCTCCTTGAGAACCAAGCCCAGACCCGGGGCGCCGGCGGTGACACCTGCCACAGCGCAGGCCGGCTTCAAGGCTCACGGCCACTCGTGGGCCAGACGAGGCTGGGGACTCGGGGAAGGGGGGTTCGCTTAATCTGGTGACCGGCGCACACTGCTTTCTGCTCTCTCCAGACACCACATCAAAGTGGAAGTAATTTTTAAGAGCAGAGGCCTCCCTGGGGGAGGCTCCCCAGCCAGGGAGGGACCCCCAGGGCCGGCAGACCCCTCCTGCCTCCCCACTGCTCCCCTCAGCAGTGGGTGTCAGCGGACCCACCTCTTCTGCTTCCCGCTGCGTCTCTGGGGAGTCCAACCTGCGCCTCTGGCCTGTAACCCAGTTCTGTGCACATAAATACACAAATCCGCAAATATAGTCGTGGTTTAGTATCAAGAAGAGTTTTAAAGAAAACCCCAAACACTTCGACAACCCCAAAATGGACAAAATGAATGTGAGGAAGTTCATAAAAACGGCAACACCAGACGTCAAAACAGCGGCGCCGCTGATGGGTCGCCTGATGCCAGCACTTGCGCCACCCCCCCCCCCGCAGGCCGGGAGGCGCCTGGCTCTGGCGCGGCGGCCATGTGCTCTCGGCCCTGCGGCTGCAGGCCGCTCGGCCCCAGGGGACAGCAGGGCAGTGCCACTGGCCTGCAGGATCCCGGCTCTCCCGGACTCCCCCACCTGCCAGAACCGGCCAGGGCGTGGCAGGCGCCACCGGACCAGAAGCTGTCAGCTGCCCCTGGACATGGCCACGAGGCCGGGAGTTAGGTCGGGGCCCGGCTGCGCCGCCGGTGACAGCCCCTCCTGCCTCCACCCGCCCGCAGCAGGCGCATGGGGGCCTGGAGCTGAGCGCTGCTCTCCCTGCCGTGCCCCGGTCAGCACTTCCGCGCGGTCAGCACGGACAGCCTCGTGGGGGCAGCCGGCAGAGGGCCCACGGCCCGTGGGCCTGGGGACGGACAACACCCGAAGCAACCGGGGCGAAGGCGGCCCAGGGGACTTGGGCCCGAGAGTCGGGGTCTGTTCAACAGCGACCCCCCAGTCTCAGGGTAAGGCCCCTTCACGCCGAGTCTGAAAAGCGACATCTCAGACAGCTTCCAGCGTCTGACCGGACCCCGCACCCAGAGGCCAGCATGGCTGTGGCCCCCAGGTCCCGGTGCGGGCGTGCCCCTCAGTGGTTTCCTTCCGGGTCAAAAGCTTCCTGGGTGACTACAGCAGCGGTGGGGAGGGTGCCCGACCTCCTGCTGGGCGTGCCGGGGCCAGCACCTCGGGGTCAGCCTGCCTGCCGCCTTCCCCGTCACCACTCTTCCCTCCACTCCCGCCGCGCCACCCGGTCTGAGCTCCCCAGGCCCTACCCATGCCACGAGGACACTGCTCCAATGACTGGACACCCTCTCCCCTGGCCAGCTGCCCTCATCCCAGAGCTCCGATGTCGCCCCAACCCTGGTGCCCCCTCCACAGCCCGGGTGAAGACTCTGCACTGGTCAGCAGGGCTTGGTCACTTGCACAGGTGACGTGGAAACACCCCCAGGCCTGTGTTCCTTCACCTGCCCACCCACCTTGCAAAACTGCCCAAGGGCAGCAGATGGGGCGGCGGGTCAGGGCTTGGCAGGAAGCAAGGGGCCGGCACGCTGCCCTCCTGGGCAAAGCCGCCTCCGAAGCCAGAGAAAACGTTGCCAAGCTTTATTCAGGCTCAGGGCAGACCGCGCCCCTGCAGCCCCAGGGCAGGCGCGGCCGTCCGCCCTCCAGTCTCACTTCTTGTCCTCCTCCTTCTTGTCCTTCTTGCCTTCCTTGGTGGCCTGGGAGGCCAGCGAGCCCATGGCGTTTCGAATGGCCTCGTTGTTGGGATCCACGCCTGGAAGGTTCTCCAGGACACTCTGAAGGAACTCGGGGTCCTGCATGACATCGTAGTCGTCCTCCTCCTAAAGAAGAGCGGCGTCAGCGGGGAGGGGTGGCCACAGGGAGCAGGGCAGAGCCCATGACCGCTGCTGCCTGAGCTCCCCGGGCTGTGGGGGTGCGGGGCGCCTCGGCCTGGGAACACTCCTTAGTGGCCACAGAGGCCTGAGCACGCAGCTTCCTGAGCTCAAGAGCAGGCGGATGCACCATCCCGCCCGGGGTCCCCCATCAGACACCACCCCTCCCTCTTCACCCCAAAACACGTCCTGGGAAGTGTCCAGCCGCTCAGAGCGGCGAGGGGCCCCGGGCCGCTGGGCACTCCCTGCCTCCCGCGAGCCCAGACACAAAGGCCTTATGCTACGCTGGGCCGCTGCAGCTCGGGGAGCTCGTGTTTGAGACCCCGAGGGGCTGGGCTGGAGGCTGAGGAGCGAGGGGCCAGGGGTGGTCACCTTGGCTGGCTCAGATGTGTCCATGGCGGAGCTGGCGTCGGCGTCGGCGGAC